ACTGCACCCGGCCATTCTGCCTCTCTTCTTTGGAAGACAGTTGGCTTCCATTTCTCTATAAGCTCCAAGCCCAGAACAGATAATAAGCCCATCAAATTGGCTGCACAGGCACCTAGAAGGTTTGGGGCTAAGTCACACACCCAACTAGTGACACTTCCTTCAGGGAGCAGCACAGGGCTCCCAACCCTGTTGGGATGCAGGACAGCTGAGCCAGAAATTTCAATCATAGTAGACAGCCTATCTCTCCAAAGAAGACTTACACTTGTCTTCTGCCTCTTGCTGACATTCTGTGACTGCACAGACAGCACTGTGTCAGTTTAGCAATTACTACATAACAAACCACCCGAAGAGTTAGAGGCTTAAAGCAATAATTAGCTCACAACTCTGCAATTTTAGCTGGACTCAGCTGAGCAGTTCTGTTCATCTCACTTTGAGTTGCTTGAGTGGCTGCACTCATATGGACAGGACGGTCTACGATGGCCTCACTCACATATATCTGGCAGTTACCTGGGATTGTCAGCCAAAGGACCTCAGTTCTCCTGTGTGTGGTTCTCCAGCAAAATAGCCTTCGCTCCTGGCCTGGCATCAGCAGGTCCCAAGAGAGTGAAAGTGGAAGCCACAAGATTTTCCACAATCTAGGCTCCAGAAGTCCCATATTGTCACTTCTGACACATTTGTTAGCCAAAGCAAGTCACAAGGCAATGTGAAATTCAAAAAGTAGGAAACATAGACTCTACTTTTTGTTTTTTGGGGTTTTTTTTTGGACAGAGTCTCACTCTGTCACCCGGCTGGAGTGCGGTGGTGCAATCTCGGCTCACTGCAACCTCTGCCTCCCGGGTTCAAGCTATTCTCCTGCCTCGGCCTCCCAAGTAGGAGGCTTAGACATCTTAGATGTCTCTAAGAGACGAACTGAAAAATTCTGGACTAGTCCAGGACAAACTCACAGGGCAGTGGAAGGCAGAAGCCAAATCTCCAAAGAGTAAAAAACTGAGGAAAAGGCCGGGCGCGGTGGCTCAAGCCTGTAATCCCAGCACTTTGGGAGGCCGAGGCGGGTGGATCACGAGGTCAAGAGATCGAGACCATCCTGGTCAACATGGTGAAACCCCATCTCTACTAAAAATACAAAAAAAATTAGCTGGGCATGGTGGCGCGTGCCTGTAATCCCAGCTACTCGGGAGGTTGAGGCAGGAGAATTGCCTGAACCCAGGAGGCGGAGGTTGCGGTGAGCCGAGATCGCGCCATTGC